CTATACGCCCTAAACCCTATAAGCCCGTAAGCCCTAAACCCCATAATCCCCTAGGCCCTAAACCCTATAAGCGCTATAAGCCCTAAACCCTATACATTTTTCTGGGTGTTTTTAGGTATCCTGAAGATCCCAAGCGCCGAATCATTAAGGGTCGGGGTTCGGGGTTCCCCTTAGTGAGGACCCTAAACCCTAAGACCCTAAGCCCTAAAGCCCTAAACCCTAAAACCCTAAACCCCAAACCCTTAGTGAAGAGCCTGGTAAGGTAGCCCTATCCTAGTCCTTGAAGCCCCTTTATCTCCCCTGCCCGTTGAGGTACTGCGTGTGGTCCGCCCAAGGCTTGGCGGGGCTGAGGGTTAACATACTTTAGGGGTTTAAGGTTTAGGGGCTAGATCCTATAAATAGTCTCCGTCGTAGCTCGTTTTTTGTTAATCAGTTTTGTGGTTAGGATCCTGTCATATAAATTTGGTTAACCAAGGAAAGGAACTACAACAGAGACTATGGATAGGGTTAGAGGTTCAGGCGTTCAGGGTTCGGCGGTTTCAGGTTTAAGGTTTAGGTTTCAGGACCTAGGGTTAAGAGGTTTAGGGTTTTAGGGGCTAGGGTGTTCGGGTTTTCGGGCTGAGGCTTTGGGGGTTTAGGGCTTTAGGGGTTTAGGGTCTAGGGGTAGGTTTTCCAAATCCCAATCATACTGTGGATTGGTATATTCTTGTAGAAGCTCAACCCCATAGATAAGGTGCCCGTTCTATTTTCCAGCCCCGCAACTGCCCTCAACCCCAAGGGTTAAGGGTTTAAGTTGGAGTAGACTACTTGGTAGACCTCATCTTACAAAAACCCTTGCAGGAAGCCTCCCAAGGGTCCTAGGTACCGTCATGGGGGATACTTTCCCAAACCATAAATCATGATTCCTACTAGAGATTAGCCTAAACCCTAAACCCCTCAACCCCCAAACCCCTAAACCCCCAAGCCCCTAAACCCCTGAACCCTAAACCCCTGAACCCTTAACCCTACATTCTACTATGTAGTTACTTTGCATCCTCTAGGCCTTCAAAGGAACCCTACACTTGAGTTTAGGGTTTAGGGGTTAGGGGTTTAGGGGTTTAGGGGTTCAGGGGTTCAGGGGTTTAGGGTTTGGGGGTTTAGGGGTTTAGGGATTTAGGGTCTCATTAAAGCCCAAAACCCTATAAGTCTCCCGAAAAAGGATCCCCTAAACTTAAAAACCCTAAACCCTAAAACCCTAAAACCCTAAACAAACCCTAAAACCCTAAAACCCTAAACAAACCCTAAACCCTAAACCCCTAAACCCTAATCCCTAAACCTAATCCCTGAACCCCTAAGCCCTAATCCCTAAACCCTAAACCTTGGCTCGTTCCCACCTGTATTTCTCGAAG